ATAACAATAACAAATAACTCACCATCAACGATCATAACAACAAACAACATCACATGTACTCTATTATTTATAACATGCGAAGAGCTGAAGAATTGAAATCACAAGTCTATCAAGAAGTTCTTTCATTTAATGCATGGATTATATAATATATTTGATTTAGTTTTAATTATAGTCAATTTTATTTTTCTTTTTAATTTTTTATATTCAAAAAATCAAAAAAATTTGCAAAATTTCTTGGGATAGTAGGCATAGCTGCTACTAGTACGTTAATATTGATTTTGAATTTTTTTACGATATTAGTTAGATATTGATAAGTAAACAAGCTAGCATTTAACTTGTTGTATGCAATGCACTTAAGAAATGTTGTTTCTTTTACAATGTATACCATGTTATATACAATATCAAATAAAGAAATAATGTTTACCTACTGGAAAAATCCCCCAAAAATATATATATATGTAAATATTGATATTAATAAAAGCCTGTTAAATAAGATCTATACTAGTATTTAAAAAAAAATTCATATACTGTAAATAAATATTTTAACAAAAAATAATTTAAAAATAAAGTAATAAAATAGTTTAAAAAATAAAAAACATAAAATTATTAAAATTATTTTTATATTATTTAAATTGATAATATAATCATCCTTAAAAATAGAAGTATTATAAAAATAAATATCAATAAATTTAAATAATAAATAATAAAAATTTTAAATAAAAATTTTTTATAAAAAAAACTTTTTATATATAATATTTTTTTTATTTTTCAATATTCAAAGTTTTTTATATTTTTTTTATTTACATTACAAGAATTATAAAAAAATCAATAAAATATATTAATATATTGAAATAAACTTTTTGATTAAAAAAAGAAAGGTTTAAAGATCTTGTTTTTTTTTTAGATTGTATAAAAAAAAACTTATAGTAGTTATTTTTTTATATTTTTTATATTTTTATATTTTATTAATATAGTATATAATTTTTATTAAATAATAATATTCATTTCTAGATTTATAAATTAATAATATAAAAAAAACTTTCTTTTAATTATATTCATTTTGTTAAAAAAATTTTTTTTATAATAATTTTAAGCAAGAAAAAATGTTTTATACTCTTTATTGCAAGTAAGCCTGGCTCAAAAACTTAAGAACTTTCAAAATAACTGATACAGTTGGATAAGATTTCTGATCAAAATTTACTCAAGTTTGAAAGTTTTGCTTATCCTTCAGTTATATGAGAAAAGATCTATAGCAGTTTTCTTTTCTTTTGTTCGCTTATATTTCTTCTTTTTTTTTATTATATTACAAAAACTATTTATATCAATATCATTATACTTGTTAAATTAAATACTTTTCAAAAAACATATTTAAATAAAATTATCGGATCTATTGTATATTTTAATATAACCTTTATATATAACTTTACCATGGTATTATTTACTATATTATTTTAAAATTTTTAAAAAACTGAAATTAGTTTATTCTCTTCAGATAATTATCTTTTATTCAAACAACAAAAAAAAAACTAAATCTATCCAAACTGATTTTTTAATATAATAATAACAATAATAATAACTATTATAATAATAAACAACATTAACTATACTTTATTATTTATGTCAACAAAAATCATGTCTCTAAGATCAGTGCCAATGCAAGGATTAGACAATTGGTTATTTTTTAGATATTCTTTTTGTTTATATAAATTTTATAGTTCAAATGACTCAGTTTTAGTTTCAGTAGCTAATATTATTATAATTTCAATTTATTTTTCTTTTTACTTTTTTTTTATTTTCTATTCTTTTTATGTTCAATTAAAAACTTTAAGTAAGTAAGCATAACTGCTCTCAGCTATATTTAGTATATACAATATTATTTTAAATTCTTTTTGATATTAGTTAGATATAGATGTATGGGCAAGTTTGCATTTAACTTGTTGTATGCTTTGCACTCAAGAGATGTTGTTTCTTTCATAATATATATAACTTTATAATATAATACAATAAATAAAGAAATGATGTTTATCTATAGGAAAAACATTTTACATTGCTAAAATTTTATAATAATTGTATCACTTTTTTTTATGTTACATTTAAATACATTAAATTAAATAGAATTAATATTGAAATTAATAAATATTTAAAAGAATAAATAACAAAAATTTGAAGAAATAAAAATAAAAAATCACTGATTCCATCAAACCGATTCGGCTATTTAAATTTATCAAATATAGATAGATAGATGTTGTTTTAATTATGTTGATTAATCATTATTATTATTGTTATTCCATATAAGATTAATCATGAATCTGTTAATTAAATTTATAATTAATTATACTACGTCAAGTTTTTTTTTTTTTTAATCTAATTTAATTTAATTTTTTTTCTATTAGCTGTCAAATCAAAATTTGAATTACGCTATTTAAAAAAATTTTTTTTCTAGTACATATTTGTCCATACAAATCGTTAATCAGAGAACCCTCCAACTGGCTCAACACCTGTCTCATATCAGGTGCATCCAATGTAATTACATCATCACGCATCTTTGTTTTTCGACTCTTGTATACGTCGACTTCTAATTATATCATTTCCGCTTCAGCGTTTTGTATTAATGGTTTTTTGAATAACAAAAAGGTTAAGAGGAATATAGTGCGATCTCTTGGAGTTTTCTATTCTTGATTTTCTGCTTTATGGACCGTGTTTCTTCATAATACTATGCGATTTCATATCCCAAGACATTTTTTTTAACCAAGCATTTGTTCTACTTTTTTGAATGTGTCATGACACAGATCATACCGACTACTCAATGGAATGATATAGAACGGTCCGATATACGCGATTACAGATTTAGAGATGAAAGCATTTATCGATTAATGGTAATAGCGACATCGATAATAATGGTAGTGGAACTTTTTTTCACGGATCATGCATGAATCGGGAGTGTTTATGTAATGAATCGCGGTATAGGTAATCATTCTATTTTTGTGATTGTAAAAGAATCTTTTCACACTTTCACGATGACCTCGGGACATCTCGGTTATGGGAATATTAAATTTCAAGGTTTAAACACAAACATGGAACATACGAAAATCAAGGAATTTCACGGGCAAAGTTCGTGTGTTTTCGGATCAAACTATGTCTAGTCAAACACATCAATCGAACCCTTCTGCAACACACTGCGCATCATGAAAATCACTCGGCGAGAACTTGAATAGTCTTTTTTTAATCAATAAATTACAATTCATGTCTGAAACCTCAGAATTATTACAAGCAACGGTTAAGGCAATCCGTGATTAACGCAGCATTGATAATAGACAAAGAAATTCGGAATGATTCCGATTAAGTGTCCTCCCGTGGGCTTCTAGTGACATTTCCATTACGGCATTGCCGATCTGCATAGTTTTTTTCAAGTGTTCGCATATCAAGATCATTCATCATATCTCGGCAATGATTAAAGGACAAATAATGATAAATAATGGTGTACGACGAAAGTGTGATTGCGAAAAATGGCATTATACTTCAAAAATAGGCTTAATTCAAAAATTCGAGGGAACGACTTTATAATTCAGACAAATCGTAAATCGTATCAAACATTCATTATTAAGATTCTACTTAAATGGAGAATGCACGTTCACTGATAACACTTGGCGCGAACTAGGCCGCTTCAATGAAGAGGAAGTTGAATGAAGTTGATTGGGATGTTACAATGGAACCAAAACACTGTACCCAGGATTTTTTTTCATATGTACGTACTTAAACGGGATGCATCGTGCAAGCTAAACATACTGCACATCCCATTTCTGGCAAGGGTGAATAGTAAACAAAAAAGCTTGTGCCCTGTTTTATTCTAGATTCTGTCAACTTCTCAAATGTAAATGAATAACAATTTGATGTGTGTGAATTGATTTTCCACGTTATGATCAAAAACCATTATGAGTATGGTTTTTCAAATTGAAAGTCTCTTTCAACAATGGTCAATAAAGTTTTGATCGTCCAGAATTCTGTCACTTGTTGGTTCGCTTTGAGCTAGACGGATTTGAGTATACAATTCAATTGTCGCCTCTACGCTCTCTAATTGACAGTCAAAAAATAGAGAGGGAGAGAGAGAAAAAGAGAAGGAAGTGAAAAAGGAAGCACATGATTCCAAATTTCTAATGATTCAACACTCAACTCTTCCCCACTGAAATTAGATGTAACCACTTTACGTTATACTTAAATTGGATGGTATCGGCGTATCATCTCACGATCAACAATCTTTTGGGAAAATCAGCCTTCTCCTCCTTGCATTCGAGTACTTTTCTTTCTTAGCGATTATTTCGAATTGTCACAATCTCACGAACGTTCGACCCGTCTAGGAATCAATGCGTTCTATTAAAAAACACCATATATAGAAAATTGGCGCGTCTTTATTGTGCAGTCAAAACTTTGAATTATTTGTTAAAGGGATTTTTTTTACCGCCCACCCGCATTAGAGTTTAATTAAATTACAAAACCAATTATCGCGCTCGGTTGCATGTGTTAATCAATTTATGGATTTGTGCTTCCCTCATCCGAAAAACCTTATCGTAACTTTATCAAATTAACACTTATTGAGGGCTCAATAATCAACTGTGAACGAATCGACGGATCAAAAACGCGGTGATCTTTGTCTTAAATTACAATCATCAAAAAAAAAAAAGATGAGAGATTAAATAAAGTAAATTAAACTGATGAAGCCAAGAAAAAATCCAGTTCCTAATTAATATCGTACATTAATTGTAATATCTTGATATGGATTGTAATCGAAAGATCATTGTCAAGAATGTGGGACTTGTGATTGATTGATCGTGGTCTTAATACTGTATCTGCGTAATTTCACTTTTGATGTCCTTCAATTTCATCACCCCACAAAATATCACATGGCATAAATAAACCTTCTGAGAAAGGATCGGGTTCTTTTTTTTCGTTTCCTTGGACTATTAATAGATATTGTAAGAGACGGTGGTACACTTGGATTTGCCTTAATCTCCTTTCACTTCAATATCCGTCGTTGTGTCCAGGTGCCACTCGTTCCCTCCTTCAATCGAGATCACCTGATCGGAAAATAGTTATAATTAGGTACATCGAGCCTTACCGGTACACATCCGGATATAGCTAAACTTAGTTCACGTCATACAGCATCCATTCTCATCAAGCCGGTGATCATGAAACAGGAGATCCCGAAAGGAGGGGAACCACTTGGTGCTCTGGTCGGTCGTGTTGTCCTTGTTATTTCAAATGGTTAAAGAGAAAATCAAGTTATGTTGACACAAGAAGGCACGATGCTTCTATTTTTTTCTTGACGGTGTGACCTGTGGCTTGTACATGAAACAGTGGAAAATTCCTCGAATCGGAGTAATTTTCCGTGATAATAACAACATTTATTGTACAATGACAGGAAATAATTTTGTAAAACATTAACAAGTTTCCATTTTTGCTCTCAAACAATTTTGCTTTTATTGTAAATAAAATCACGACGAATATGCATAAGTGTCGGCGTTCATCCCAATCGAATAATCATTTTCGCAGTTTTAGGGATTGTCCTTTTTGCAAGAAAGAAAAGTGTTTGGATTCTGCGAAGCGTTTTGCTCAGGATGGTGGGAATGGTGACAATACATATCATAATACATTTCGTACCGTATATGCTATGTTTCCGTTCACAATTGCTATTATGCTATTTGATAATGATATTACGATTCAAAAATAGATTTCTCCGTAAATAATTATTAATCAATCGTGTACTGTGCCCTTTTGCGTAGCATACAAATATACCAGTGAATTCCCGTCGAATCAGATGCCGTCTTTTCTTAGATCGTCGTTATTTCCATGCAACCATCTATTTTTAGATTTTCTTTTTTTTTTTCCACAAGCAGTCACCTGCACGTTTCTATTTTTGTCTCAACCAAAAGTTAATCGTCACTTAAGAGCTAATTGAAAAACCTGCTTTACTTGTTCCTTCATGTGAATTTCAATGATTTGGCGAATTGTCTGCTTATTTTATTCAACTATGGATAAGGCGATTTTAGAACGTTGATGCCGTGAAGCGTCCATATGAGACAAGAACATCATCTTTCACGCACCTTTCTCGTCGGGTTCCGCAAAAATCACATTTCACAAAAATTCTTTTCCTCCCGTACACAAAAGTACCCTTTTTGGATTTCTGGTAAAATCACATTATCTTGCATGCACCGCGCCACCATTTTTATGGGATAAGCCCCCGGAAATGGAAAAACGGTGGAAAAAAAAAAAAATCAGTGAGACCATCTACAGTATTCTATACGACGGACAGTGTTTTTTTGTTCTTATTAAAATAAGATATCATCATTAAAGATGACGGATAAAAATACATCTATCTCTTATACATGATTACATGATTACATGAATAACAGTTCAAGACCTTATTTGTTAATTGATGTTCATTTTTGGGGAACGTACAGTAAAAATTTTGTTCGTGATATATCCCATAATGCGGAAAGTAGGCACCTCTGTTTTATTTTATGCACAGCCTGGTTGTGTTATGTTTTTTATTGAGCTAATAATATACTTGGTTTGGCATATGTATAAAGCGGGAACTGAATAAATTGGGTGGTAAAAAAAAAAAAAAAAAATCAAGATATAAATACACAGGACATCTTCAGTTCTCGATTCTTCACCACGGAAAGAAAAAATATCTACTTGTTGCAAACAAACAGAACATAATCAGGAA